CAGACGAGTATGGATTTAGCAACTCTAGCGTCATTTCAGCTTCAGTAGAGCAGCAAATCAATACTTTAGTGCCTTTGGAGCCAGGAGCAGGACAAAGGTAACAACTGGATGCAGTAACAGCAGTCTGCAGGTGCCATTATTGATATACATTAGACAATGTATTATTGAAAATCATCAGTCTTGTATCAAAAGAAAGGAATTTCTTGCCCACAAAAGTTTATACAATTTGTGCACAGTTAGAGTTAAATTGGATTATATTCACCTTGCATGGGGAAGTCCGAATGTAGTCCAATAACAATTTTGATGCACTGCCTCTGACAGGCCTTTGCTTTTGTGAAACAAACTACACCGAAAACAAGAGGCATAAATAGGTATCTATCATTAGATACAAGTCAAGAAAAGTTTTCTACAACATAGCCAAAAAAATTGATTATTGGCATAATACATAAATAGATTCACTTAACTTTTTTTGGAAACTGGTAACATTAAATAGACAGTTAGACTTGGCCTTAGCTGACAAGTAAGCCTCAAACTTAGAGAGTGCACATCGAGATACCTCAACTTGGTCTCAACTGACAATTAAACACTTCAACTCGTTCCCAGTGTGTCTCATGGACACCCGATGCTGACATGGCACACAAATTTTGGAGGTGTCTAGATGATCATTTTGAAAGTTGGAGTGTTCAACTGACACAATGAAGACGAGTTGAGGTATCAAGATGTTCATTCCCTAAGTTGGAGAGTTTACTTTCCAGGTGAGGCCATGTTTGAGCGTCTGTTTATGTATTATGTCTACATTGAAAGCTAAAAGTGGCAATACCTGCAGTAACAAAGCAATAAACTTGGAGAGGACTATGTCCTTTAATTCTGAAGGACAGAGGATTCCTAAATCAATCACCGCATACCCTTCCTGCTTTCCAGAAGAAAAAAAAATTAAAGGGATAGACTGAGAATGATAGAGAGAGATTAGTAACATCACGCTAAGACAAGGTACAGATATACAGTGTTTTTCTTCTCCAGATGAGAATCATTATTAAGGAAATATTACACAGATAAGTTCTAGTTAAAATACCTCTACCAACAGTACCAGTAGTCATTGAAGGATTCCGTTCCAAGTTTTTCTTCCAAATGATTAGTTCATCTATATCCATTAATTTTTTTTCAGTTATACTTCACTGAATGTCACCTATTTAATGATTGGATTTTAATCATTCACATTGTGACAATAAGAAAGTGCAAATACTCAAACAATGGGAATGCAAGGAACATGCCTAGAAGGCTAGAACTACGATGCCTAAACTGCTCTAGGACATGCATTCAGATATCTCGTTCGGGAGGGAGTAGAAACATTTCCAAATTGGTAACTATGACTAACCCATAGGTCTGAAAAAAGAAAACAAAACATCGAAACAAGCTTCATTTTGGCATGGGAATACAAAAAAGGTTAAATTAGTATGTTATGGATTCTGTTCTAGACAGGTATCCCCCATTCCAAATAGAGACGAGCTTCATTTTGGCGTGGAATACAAAAAATAAGGTTGAATTAAGATGTTACTGATTCTGTTCTAGACAGGTACTGGGCTGTCAAGTATATGCAAGGAAAAGGGTGCTAAACTACAAATTGACGACCAATACACCCCCCAAGAGAAGGCATGATTGAAAGCAAATGCAGATAGGTGTCATTTCTCAAACATGTAGAACACCTGTTCTGAAGGCTATCGAGTATCAATAATGAAACAATGGATTATTGGTTAGAATGCATTCCCAACTAAACTGTAGAACTCACAGGCATGATAGTCACAGCTTGATGCATCAGGTTGGAACAAATTTTGTCAACATGCAACCTTGTTCTCCGACAAGCAGCGATAAGTGCTTGCAACTCGGATCTAAAGATAGCTGCAGGAAAAGATATATATGATCAAGATACGGTAAATACAGGTTCTGTTAATAAGGTTCCTCCAAAACAGTAGATGCATAATTAAGTCAAATGCTCACGTGATGCCAAGTCAGTCAATATCATCCGAATTCTATTACGAGCAAATAATGCACTTCTGTTCGTGGGATCTTCGACCCATTCTTGATTGGCAGCTAGACATATCTGCAATACAAGGTAATGCCATTTTAGAAGCTTCAAATGAACTAGGAAAGGAATAACCATCTGAATCTTTTTAGCAAAATCTGCAGACGTAGTTTAATCATTTTAAGATCCTGATGAAATATTACCCTGAACACTCTAATTACAGATAGAAGAAGTCATTCAGGTTAAAGGCTACGAAAATCCTCCAAACAGACAAACTGTAAAAAACAAACCTTGTACATATCTTTTTTAGGTAACTCCAGGAGAGGTCTCACCAATAAAAGTCCATTGCTACTCACTTCAGCACTTAAATCTGGACATGTAAAAAACAGCTCTGAAACAGATGCCATTCCAGCGAGTCCAAGCACGCCACTACTGCGAGATAACCTAAGAATGAATAGTTCTGCCTGTAGAGTAATCCGATTAGCAATTGCTAAAACTATCAACAATGTTGTCAAAAGCAATAATGTTCAACTTACATTTGCATGAGCGCAACATCAATTGTATTCAAATACCATTAGCTCTTTTTAATGTATTGACAAAACTAAACAGATTGCCATCTATAAGTGCTAAGTTTTTAGAGACAAAATACAAAAATCCAGAGAGTAAATGCTATTAATACCTGGTCATCTGCATGGTGTGCAGTCATCAACACACCAATCTGATGCCGGATGCAAGCACTTTGGAGAATTTCATACCTGAACAAGACGAGGGACAACTTATTTACTCACAATAATGACGACATATTAACATCAGGATGAATGTATAACATAGTCAGTCAAAAAACCAGCATAACCAGATATGACAAGGCTCTGAAATAGCATTTCACTGAAGATGATTTGAAACTCTGGTAATGACCTCTTCTGGCGAGCAGCTTCTTGCAAGTGACCCTGCTTTGGCTTGCCTTCTGACCATTCACAGCAAACAATCTCACATTTGATTCCTATACAAGGCCTACATTATATCTCTATTAAAAAGGTATTAAGCAATGTTGCTACATTCATGATAAAGAAGAAGTTAAAAGGAACATATATACCCATGCTTGTGACTCGACGATGAACAAGGTGAGCTTCATCTTTACTCTCAGCACGAAGTCCATGATCAACTACCACTGCTAAAAGCCCGTCAACAAACTCATTCTTTTGAGCAGCATTACCAAGGTTATTGGTTTTCCATGCAGCAGTTAAGACACAGAGGGCCATGCTATCAGGGCCACCAGAAACGCCCAGAACTACAAAAAAGGTCAAGAAGAATCATGGTCACCACAAAACCACACTTGGAATTTGAAATTTTAATCTAATAGTCGTTAAAGAGAGAATAGCCAAACATGAAAATTTACTTGGATTTGATATTTTATAACTGCAAAACCTACCAATCAAAGAGAAAAATAAATCATGAGCTGTAATTTTCTTCCTTGGGCAATTCTTTGTAAGCTATATTACATAACAAGAAAATTGAAAATCCATAAAACAAAAACTCATGCTTTTCAGATTTTTAAGTCAGGCAAATCAATAACAAAATGGACGAAAAGGCACTATAAAGCTGCTACCTTTTATCCACTTTCGGATAAAGAGATCCCTCTTTAAGGGGACTCCATTAACAAATATCAAACCTAAAGCCTCTGGCTAAAGATGGATGGGTACCTATCATCCCATGGAACACATGAAACATTTTCTCATGATATTGAGATTTTTAAGTAAAGCAAACCAATATACAAATGGACGGTAAAGGGTACTATACAAAGTTGCAATCTTTTATCCACTTGGGCTAAAAAGCTCCCTGTTAAACACAGCTCCATTCCCCAAACTCAAATCAGAAACTTCTGATTAGGAATGGGGTAGTACTAATCATCCCATGAAACATGTAAAATAGCTTCTCATGATATTAAGATTTTTAACTCATGCAAACCACTTTTCAAACCAATGAAAAAAGGTACACTGAGACCTCCACATCATCATCTATAACAACATTTCATTATAACACCAAGTCTTTTTCTAAACAAATATTTTCAACAACAGCATTCCCGGTGTAATCCCTCCCACAAGTGGAGTCTGAGAAGGGTGGTCCGTACAGAGACTTAGTAATGAAGTTAAAAGGACTGTTTCCAATAGACCCTCAACTCCTGTAACACATATCTAAACCAATTTTTTCATCTTATACAATATCTCCAACATGGACCTGGTAAAATTGAATCCTCCATGAAGATGCAAGTATCAGCATTTCACTATAACAAAAAGAATAAACGACTATACTATAAAACTGCAATCTTTTTCTCACTTTCAGCTCTTCTTTCTTTGTATCCACAAAGTAAAATAAAAATAAAAATACAATGGAGGGGTAAAACTTACCAATACGATGATGGGGTTTGAGACCCACCATAGCCATACGCTTTGCAAATGCCTCTGAGTGTACTGACATGTCAATTGTGCCATTTTCTTGGAAGTGACTGCAACAACTGCACAGAAACCGAGGTGGAGAAGGAGGAGGTGAAAGAGAGAAACGGAGAGATGATGAAGAAGGGTAATAGGGTAATTTAGTTAATCTTGAAGTTTCAGAAATGGAGTTTAGAAGAAAATGTGAAGAATTTTTGGTTTGTGTAGAAATCAAGAAGCCTCGCGCCATTGACAACAAAGCTTTAAACTTTTGAGGTTTGAGAAGTTACACTTTGATAAAACAGGTTACTCTCCGATACGACATCGTTTCTGAGTTTTTAAATTTTATTTTATTTTTTATTTCTATTTCTTATTTTTTTTAATTTTTTTTATTCATACAATTTTTTTATAAAAGTTTCAAGAATTTCCCCAGAAAATTCATAAAAAAGCCCAAGTTATTTTTCTGCAAGATTTTACCTTTAAATCAGTAATATAAAGTAAACATCTTCACAAATTATATTCCAATAGGTAAGCAAATTCAGTAACCCCTTTTTCTTGTCACCACATATATCACTGTGTTAGTGCTCTCTTCTTCTGTTTCCTTCTGGAGAACACAGTATTTTTATCTTTACTGAGCAAACTCAAGAATCTTTGTGTTGAAAAGTTAAGATCTTTGAGAAAGATGAGCTCTTTTTTGAAGTTTCTTGGTTTCTAAATTGATTATATGGTTTCGGTTTCAGTTTTCTCAATCATTTTGCTGAAGTGTTCAATTTAAAAGTGTCTTCTTGTTAAGGGGTGATGATTGATGACCCTTTGTAGTTAGTTAGCTCAGTGGACATCTGTTTTTTTTTTAAGCAAAGTTGAGATCTTTGAGAAAGATGGGGTCTTTTCTTGGTTTCTAGTTTTCTCCTTCATTTTACTGAAATGTCAAGTTGGAAAGGGTCTTCTTGTTAAGGGATGATGACCCTTTGTAGTTAGCTCAGTGAATATCTCTTTGTTTTGAAAAAGTTAAGATCTTTGAGAAGGATGGGGTCTTTTCTTATGTCTTGTTGAAGCTTTCTTGATTTCCAGTTTTCTCCATCATTTGGCTGAAATGTCAAATTGGAAAGGGTCTTCTTGTTAAGGGATGATGACCCTTTGTAGTTAGCTCAGTGAATATCTCTTTTCTTTGAAAAAGTTAAGATCTTTGAGAAAGATGGGGTCTTTTCTTATGTCTTATTGAAACTTTCTTGATTTCCAGTTTTCTCCATCGTTTGGCTGAAATGTCCATTAAAAGGGGTCTTCTTGTTAAGGGATGATGACCCTTTGTAGTTAGCACAGTGAATAACTCTTTGTTTTGAAAAGCTGAGATCTTTGAGAAAGGTGGAATCTTTTCTTATGATTGTTGAAGCTCTTCTTGGTTTGTAAACTGAGATACTATGGTTTCAGTTTTCTCTATCATTTTGCTGAAATGGTCTTCTTGATAAGGAATGACTGGTTCATGTTGGGGATTGTCCCTTTTTCTGTATTAAACAATGTTATTTCATGTAAATGTGTTGATTAAATCCAGAAATTATTACAATAGCTGCAAAGCTGAAGGTATCATCAATTTCAGATACTTACTGACAATGGGGGCTTCAGAAGCTGCCCTACAGCTTTTATCCGGTGAGCTTTCATGTCAAGTCCGAACAAGTTCAATCTTGGCGAAGTCAAACTCTTTACTTTGTTATGAACGTTGTTTTAAAGCTAGAAATTACGGGGACTGGAGGTATAAGCAGATAAACAGTATAAAAAAGCTGCAAGATTGCTCGAGTTTACATGCTTTTCATGGCTTACATAGTGTTTTCTGCGGAGAAAAGCTTCTTAGTCAGTCAAACTTATTGATCTGCAATTGTCAACAACCTGAAAGAGTCAGTGAGACAATCATTAAAGGTGGAAATGGGAAGTCGATGCACACTGTGTCTCCAAAGATTCCAAATCTTGCTCCAGATGAACAGAACATGAAGCAGGAAAATGGAGCTAGGCCTTTCAGTGAAGGTTTTAAGACTGCTGCTTCAGTTAATAGTAGGCCTAGAACCAATACGGAGTCTATTGAGGATGAAGCGTGGCATTTTTTGCGAGCTGCCATGGTTTATTACTGTGGCAGTCCAGTTGGAACTATAGCTGCTAATGATCCAAGTGAAGCAACTATGCTAAACTATGATCAAGTTTTTATACGCGATTTTATACCTTCTGGGATAGCATTCCTTCTTAAAGGAGAATACGATATCGTGAGGAACTTTATACTTCACACGCTTCAGTTGCAGGTAAAATGACTCAAACTATCTTAAACAATTACTTTGTTCTGTGTTCAGCTTGATTGCTTTCATATTGAAATTCATGTCTGTTGTAATGCACATAACTTTGGGATTTCACTGGGTAAAGTTTGCACATAACTTTGGGATTTCACTGGGTAAAGTTTGTGTACACTCTACCCTCCCCGGATCCCACCTCTGTGATTTCGTTGTGGGTATGTACAAGTTAGCTTTCTTAGCTCTTACCTAGTTACATGTGAGAGATGGCTCCATTTGAAATAGAAGTAATTCTCCAGTACAATGTGTAAGAAAAATGCTACTTGATGCATGGTTTCTTCCCGTCTATCATAGACTTGGTGGACTACCTGGTAGCTGTAGGTGGTGGGAGGGAAAGGTATCCCTTGCAATTAGTCGAGAAAACTGATCCGGACATTATGGTTTTCAATATAATAAATAAAATATTACACATGAACTCATTCATGAGATTCACTTTTCTCAACTCTGTGAAATTGAAAAAGTTTTTACTTCCATTAGCTTTTTGCCTGTTAAGCATCTTCTTCTATTCCAAACAGAGTTGGGAGAAAACAATGGATTGCTATAGTCCAGGTCAAGGACTTATGCCCGCCAGCTTCAAAGTGCGTACAATTCCACTTGATAATGACGAATCTGCAACAGAAGATGTACTGGATCCAGACTTCGGTGAGGCAGCAATTGGTCGAGTTGCTCCTGTTGATTCAGGTGATTTTTGGTAACTCTTGATGCATGTCTTTTGAATAGCAAATTTAATGTATATCTGATGATTTGTGACTCCATGAATTGATTCCAGGATTATGGTGGATTATATTGTTGCGAGCATATGGGAAATGCTCTGGAGATCTTTCTCTTCAGGAGAGGGTTGATGTCCAAACTGGAATGAAGATGATACTCAGGCTATGTCTTGCAGATGGCTTTGATATGTTTCCGACTTTGTTGGTGACTGATGGTTCTTGCATGATAGATCGTCGCATGGGAATCCATGGCCACCCTCTGGAAATTCAGGTCTTTTCTTTTTCCTGTCTGCAACAAGCTTGTCAAATGAAAAGGTGAAATTATTCATGTTAAGATACTCACTTTTGGTTCTAAGCTAATCATATTAACAACAACTACATACTCAATGAAATCCTACAACTGGGGTCTGGGGAGGGTAGAGTACTCGAACCTTATCCCTACCTTATGGAGGTAGAGAGACTGTTTCCGAAGGATCCTCAGCTCAAGTGCTGCAAATGAAAGTAGTTATGAAAAGGAAAAACGACAGTGAAGAAACCATAGAACTAATAAGGGGAGCATTCAGGAAACTCTTATTTTTTTCGTATCATGATATTTCATGCTTTGCAGGCGTTATATTATTCAGCCTTACTTGGTGCACGGGAGATGCTTGCTCCAGAGGAGGCATCAACAGACCTTGTTAGAGCACTTAACAATCGATTGCTAGCATTGTCATTTCATATTAGGGAATACTACTGGATCGATGTGAAAAAATTGAACGAGATCTATAGATACAAAACGGAGGAGTATTCATATGATGCAATCAATAAGTTCAATATATATCCAGATCAAATTCCTCCCTGGCTGGTGGAATGGATGCCTAGTGAAGGGGGTTATCTTATCGGAAACCTGCAGCCAGCTCACATGGATTTTCGGTTCTTTTCACTTGGGAACGTTTGGTCCATTGTAAGCAGTCTTGCTAACATAGATCAGTCACATGCCATTTTAGATCTTATTGAAGCCAAATGGGAGGATTTAGTAGCTGATATGCCACTGAAGATATGTTATCCTGCTCTTGAGGGCCAGGAATGGCGCATTATTACTGGTGGTGATCCGAAAAACACGTATTGTCTTCATCTTCTTTTTCTTTTCTTCTTGTAATGTGTAGATTGTTTTCTATCTTTACCTTGCTGATGTTTCTGAATACCTGGTGCAGGCCTTGGTCTTACCATAATGGAGGATCCTGGCCAACGTTGCTCTGGCAGGTACGTGTCATTCACAGAAATGTTCTAACATAGAGTAGAATCGAACATGTAAAGAGATACATTGACAGCAGAAAAGATGAGTTGATTATTGTAAACATGAACTGTTTTCAGCTGACTGTGGCATGCATAAAAATGAAGAGGCCTGAAATAGCTGAAAAAGCAATTAAGATTGCGGAAAGACGCTTATCCAGAGATAGGTGGCCTGAGTACTACGATACAAGGCGAGGAGGGTTCATTGGGAAACAAGCACGTCTGTTTCAGACATGGACTATTGCAGGATATCTAGTGGCAAAGCTGCTTATTGCCAATCCAGAGGCTGCAAAGATGGTAATCAATGTGGAGGATACAGAACTTCTAAGTGCTTTTTCAAGCATTCTGAGTTCAAACCCAAGGCGAAAACGATCACGAAAAGGAGTTAAACAGTCCTTCATCATATGAAAGTTTTATTTTTGTTACTTAAGCCTTAAGTGTGTACTATTGACCTGAGATGAACTCAAATGGAATGATAATTGTCAGTGGAGATTCATATAGTCGACCCCCAAAGTGCTCGAGATTGAAGCATACTGTGTTGTTACCTAAAGCTTTTGTATAGTTACTATATATCTGCGCGATATACATACTAGTGTTGAAAATTCTGTAGCAGTATGCCATGTATAGCATTTCCAGGGGATTCAACAACTTACATATAACCAAAAGAACTAGTTTTTACCCTATTTGCACAATATAACTTTTTCAGCAAGAGGGATTCACTAGCTCTGCTCCTGCTTCTTACCACATAAGAAAATAGCAAGAGCAAAAAGAAGAAAATGTATCATGACCAAAGATCATCAGCAGAATTGGCAGGTGGTAGTGGATCATTTTTTCTTCGAGATAATTTTCGCGAAAGAGCCAAGAGGGAGGGAGGTGGGAAACAGGACAAAGTACATGGACTAATGTCAAGAAGGTTTCATCATTCACTTTAAGTTTGTATTTCTACAGATCTTTGCTTAACTTGCCAGGTAAACAATAAACACATCAGTGCATACCATGGGCTAGAACCAGACCGGCTATACAAGTCGCGGTAGTTCAAACAATGAGCAGTAGAGTACATGGTATATGCTTTGAATAACCAATTGCCTTATTGGCAGTAAGAATACTGGTGATTAAAGTACATCTATGAACCTAAATTTTGTTCTGTCACAATGCTTTCCAACAGTGAATCACAAGCATCTTCAAGCATATCTAGTACCTGTGAGCAAGATGTAGAGTTGAGAATTAGATGCATGTTGCTGGCACTGGCAGTAAGCATCAACTGCAAGTTTAACAGCAAACAAAAGCGAACTGACTCATCCAAATGAACAGTGTTTACACATAATATATATATATTGTAGCAGCAACACACCATCTTAGTAAATTAATAAGGTCTTTTAAGACCTTCAGAAATGACCTCTTGCAGAAACTCTTCTCATTGTAAAGAGCTTTTGCTTTTTTAAGATGGGGCTTTTCTAGCATTTTCTGTGAAAATCATTCAACAGGAATTAAAAGATAATATGTGCTTGGCTTATTGAGAAGACCTTGGGAAACTACAAAGGTATCCAAATTTCCATGCACTTAATGAAACATCAAATTATAAAATTTTCTTCTAGATATGAAGTCCTCTTACAACATACAAGGACTTGGTAAAAGTTCTCCAAAATACCTCCTTGGATTTTTCCAAACCAAATATTCCAAACGATCCTTGTCGATAGCCTAAATTTTAGGACTATTTTTGTCCTATGTACTTTCTTGAAGATACCGATAAGACTATAACTATGGCTGATGAAAGACAAGCATCAGGATTCATATGTAGGACTTGGGGAGGGTTGAGGTCAGGATAACAGAGTTAATTAATGACTTCAGGGAGATTGAGGGACTGGAAAGGGTTAGGCTGTTAGGGTCTTAGGGAGTTAGAAGAATGGTTAAACGAGAAGGTAAGAAGTGAAGGGAGAATTAGCTATCAGGGCTATAGCTCAAGACACCATTCCTTTTTCTCTCCGTGCAGCCAGAGGGAAGGAAATATGAGGTGAGAAGCTGGATAATTTTCTATTGAGTAGGGCTTTACTGCATGTAAGCATGAGTAAGGTGACTATTGTGTGCACTTTTCAAATGGCACTAGTATTTCAAGATCAGTCTTCTAGTATAAGCAAAGGACAGCAGGCTGTATTATAGATGACATATAAACTAAGCAGAATAAGTCATTCACTCATAATTTCAAAGAACACATAAACTAGACTTTTTTCTTCATTATTCTGAAGTGTTGAGGACAAATTCAATGATCTCTCCAATTCATCATCCATTCTTTCCATGAAAATGTGGTTAGCAATTGTGTATCAAGAGCAATGGGTCTTTAAACCATTATACTTCTGTATTATTTGACAGCTCGAGGCATTATATGGCATAGTATTGAGAATTAACTACTTAATTCAAGCCAACAGAACATAACATATTGTGGTATGACTATCATAATGCTCCAACATTAAAATTAACAAAGTAAGCACTGTGAGAATTGAGATTCTCCAGTATAGCTAGGAGCAAGAAGCCTTCCGCTATCTAAAATGTGAAAATCAGGCAGCTTTTGGGTTATTCATCATGGCGTAACAAGATAGATGGATTATGAGATTATCAGACATTACCTTCTCAAAACCTTGAGCTCCACCATAGTAAGGGTCTGGAACTTCAGTTTCCTGATGCTTCTTACAGTAGGAACACATCAAGCGGACCTGAATTTAAAAGCACTTTTAGGATAACAGACTTAAGAAATGCAGTTGATAACCAGTACCAGTATAAGACTTATCAATTCAAAAACCTTTTCCGCTGCATCAGCTGGCAATGGCTCTCTATGGATCCACCTCTCCAGAGCCCCAAGAATATCAGCTGTGTTATAAAACAAATCAGTTCTTGATACGGTACATATGTTCAAACCATCAAGATTATACCAAGAAGATGTGGAGCTGAACATAAAGTAGGAAAATCAAGATAGACCCTTAACCATGAGGTCTCTAGTTCAAATTTCAGTAGAAGCAAAACTTGGTGAGCAGAGTTACCAGATATATGTGTTGGTGGAAGGTAACAGGTACCTATGGAATTAGTCCGGGTATGCACAAACTGACACGACACCACGGTTATAAAAAATGAAATGGGCCTAATAAAAAGAAAAGCTAAAAAAACATAACCCAGAATATGACACGGGATTTTGCAATAACCCACATTTGTTTTGCTCATCCATAGCAAGAATGAGATCAAAATCTTTGAAATCAGAAGCCCTAATTGGCCTAGATATAGACGTTATCGCAATTCCACGCCTTTTAGCAGCAGCCCTCATTCTTGGATCAGCTTCATTTCCCTTTAAGACAAACAAAAACAAAAGCAACATTATAACATGATCAACTCCAAGAAATATTCAAAACCATAAAAAATTACATTTAATTATCATTGAAAATACATCATGATAATTAAAAATACCAGCAGAATCAATCATAACTAACAAATTTTACAGAACTCAAATGAAAATACCTCATGATAATCAATATTACCAACAGAATCAATCATAAACTACAAATTTTACAGACCCCCTAGTGGAAATACCTCATGATAATCAATACTACCAGCAGAATCAATCATAAACTACAAATTTTACAGGCCCCCCAAGTGAAAATACCTCATGATAATCAATACTACCAGCAGAATCAATCATAAACTACAAATTTTACAGACCCCCAAGTGAGAATACCTCATGATAATCAATACTACCAACAGCACCAATCTTGAATACAAATTTTACAGACACCCAAATGGAAATACCTCATGATAATCAATGCTACCAGCAGAATCAATCAAAAAGTTACAAATTTTACAGACCCCCAAGTGAAAATACCTCATGATAATCAATACTACCAACAGAATCAATCATAAACTACAAATTTTACAGACCCCCAATTGAAAATACCTCATGATAATTAATAGTACCAGCAGAATCAATCTTAAACTTTGAATCAAGCCCCCTTTTCTTAACCAAATCTGTAAAAACACCTTCAGCAGCTGGACTTCTGCATATGTTTCCAAGACACACAAAGAGAACAGAAAAAGGTTTTGTACTTGAGTCCATTCCTGATTCCATTAAAGCTTTGATTTTTACACTTTTATAGCTTTCTTTAAGAAGAAATGGGGATTTAGTAGGAAGAAGAGAAGTGAGAAATGGGAATTTGAGAGAGTGAGGAGCAGCATAGTGAGAATGATGGCAGTTTGGTAATTTTGAAGGGGCTAGAATTGTCACTGTACTAAAGAGTAAGGACCTCATCACTCAAAACTTCAATGGTGGTTGGTTCTGGTAATGCAACAATAAAGCTAGAAAAGATATTTGAGAAATGAGAAATCATTTCAAAAGGCCAAAATGATAAAATGTCATATAATTTACATCATAATTATGAAACATAGATATAATCATAGTTTATGTATTAAGCAAAAAAGTTGTATTACGTAGGTATCAATCGTATCAATCATTAAAGAGATATTATATTCAGGTGACGTATATATGTATCAAACATATATTATATAGTATCATATTAGCTAAATATGTGTAAAAAAATTGCATCATCATTTTTAGGTGACGGAATTATATTCGTGCAACAGATATTAATTATATTAGACTTGTATCAACCAAAAATACTTGATATAATATAATGTGTTTTGTATTTGTATAACACCCTAAATATAACTATATTTCGTTTTTAAAAAATATTGTATCATATATCATAAGTGTGATCTTAATATTTTGTCATTTAGTAATTTGGGGAGGGGAAAGAACACATTTATGAACAGAAAATCTTATTCAAACTAATATTTGGATGAAAGAAAAATTATAATGCAGAGGTATAAGGTTGATTGTTGTTTGACTAATGACCAAATAGAAAAATTTGATTAATTCTTGGAGTCACTTTGCAATTCAAATTTTCTTTTTCTATTTTTTCTATATAATTATGTTAAAAAATTTAAAGTACAATTAATATAGTGAAAGCGCAATCAAAATATGATTTTTTGAAGATAAAATTTGTAGAATTAATTTGGAGTTGATATCAAATCGAATATAATTTATTTTACATTACATATCTGAATCATAGCATTCAGACCAACTTGTGTATATCTCAATTGATTCGTAAATATCTCAACTGATTCTACGAAAATCTATTACCTCCAACCAACACGGTTACTAGTTAAATGATAAGTTTGCCCACTAAAGCTTGTAGATGAGCTTTTTCTATTCCAATTGGACATCAGAAAATATCACTTTGATACATAATAGCAGAGTCAACAATTTTATGAAACATGATTACATATATGTTCTTCATGTGTTGCACTTTGTAGAACATGTACACTATATATATATGTTACACTACTGCCTATTAGTTACATAGATCAGACACAATGTGTAAAATGTAAAACCAAACTCTCCTTTCTCATACCTTCAGACTACTGTAATCTAAAACATGTGAAACTCCATGTCCTCTCCTATGTTTTTCAACTCATTTTGACACTTGTCGCGTTCCTTATTTAGTCGGTTGGCATCAGGGACAACGACATTTGTCAAGTCATAGGATCTAGGCATTTCTGGAGGTGTTGAGCATCGAATTAACGCCCAGTTCAGTCCCTCGAAGAATGGATGCTGCTTTATCTCTGCTGCCCCTCTCATAGCTCCTAACCTGTTCTCGGGTTCCTTCTGTAACAACCTTCTGATTAAGTCTCTTGCATGAGAGCTAACTGTAGGACTAGCTGGAAACTTGAGGCACTGAGAAACCACATTGGCTAGTGTATCCTCATTTCCTGGCCCTTTGAAAGGAGTCCTTCCGTATAAAAGCTCGTACAGAAAGATACCCAAGGTCCACCAATCTACAGCACTGCCATGACCTTCCCCTTTGATAATCTCCGGAGCTAGATACTCGTGGGTTCCTACAAATGAGTTGGATCGAGCGTTGGTTGGCTCCACAACAAGCTGTGTTAAAGGTGAGACTTGTGCAGCTAGGTCAGCCTTTATTTTACGTGTCTTTGCTTCTGTAGATAGAAACCTGGGGCCAAAGCAAGATACTTGCCACGACGGATGTAGGCAGAAGGGATCTATGCAGCTAGCTGAGCACGGACTAGACTTTTTTGGAAGCTCAATGATGGGAGAAGACGATTTCACCAAGGTAGGATTAACAGCACACCTAAGAGATAAATCAAAATCAGACAGCATGATATGACCGTCTTCTCGGACCAACACATTCTCAGGTTTTAAGTCTCGGTAGACAACTCCAAGCAAGTGAAGATATTCCAATGCAAGAAGAACTTCAGCAACATAAAATCTGCACAAAAAGTCAAAAAAAAACATCCATAGGTTAAAATATTTAGACTAATTTTGAATATCTCGTCTTAAAATGTGAAACAAAATCAAGGAATCATAATATCTGAAGAGATGAAACAATCCGAAAAAAGGTTGCAAATCCCAACTCATTCCCCCCCCCCCCCCCCCCCCACAAATTAATTAACCAGAAAAGTCTCCTTATATAATGTTGTAAGAAGGGATGCAACTGAAATGGAAGCTCATTTACATTACTTCCATTTATTCACTACACTGCTTCAGCATTTGTTTTCCTACATTTTCATCCTCCCCCCTCTTAACGTTGAACTGAATCAACTGTTAGTACACAGCCGTCCTGTCATTAGCTGTCATTTAGCAATCTCTAGATATCGTCTTCTACTGAAAGCAGCATTTACCAGAAATTCAGAGTTCTGCCAAACACAGAAGATCAATGCTCAAGGAAGAAACATGGAAAAGCCAAAAAGGTAAAGATACAAAAGTGAAAATATTAAGGGAAGGAGCAGATAATGTTGGAACATGGAGGCTTCTGAATACTGCCACGCTGACCCTTCAAATTTTAAAGATGCAGAAACTCCCTCTTTCGAACTTAGTATTTTCATTAACCTCCCTTACAAAGTCACAATTTGTTTGAAGATCCAAATTATTGGGAATAATATCTTCATTAAATAGCAGAAAAAGCAAATAGCTGTAACGCAAACTAACTACTTTGATATTTTGATTGGCACATTATTTTATAAAAGCAGTAAAGATGATTTTTTTTCCATAAAAAAACAATTTCAAGGAGAAACAACTATTAGAAGTTTTCAACCTCTTCAAAAACAAAGAAAATAGGTAAGTTTCCAATTTTGTCTTACTTTCTTGCCTGTGCTAGCTTATAAACATGAGTTAGAACAGCACATTAACACATCTGGAGTTCTTATCTATTTAATAAAAATAATTGTGACAGCAAAGTTCAAGCTATCATTTATCAGTAAATTATCAGTATAAGTAATTTTGGTACATGGATGAGATTCCTTTGGGCTGTGAACATAGACATTTTCACAACATATTGGCTCCAACATGTTCTTTATTTCATCGCTTATTTATTTACCTTTGTTTTTTAAATGCATATTGAGAATTGGGAAAAAAGAAATAATTTCAAAGATAAGTACACTATTTAGGAAAAATTACCTGGCAGCTTGTTCAGAGAAACTCTTGCTTGGTTGTTTTTGTCGCAGTACATGCAGATCACCACCTGGACAATATTCCATCACTAAACACGAGTATTTGTCATTGGTAAAATGGGTAAAGAGAGTTGGGAGAAACGGATGATCGAGCATTTGAAGAATTTCTATTTCAGTCTGAGCTCTCGTCATCTTCCTCTTGCTGGTCAGGAAGTAGTTATCCATGACTTTCACAGCAAACAGACAGTTTGTGCCCATTAGCTCAGACAGATAAACATTCCCAATATCCCCACCTCCAAGTTTTCTGAGCAGTTTAAAATGCCTAAAGCCAATATTTCCATGCTGCTTTTGAACACAAACAATAGCTTCCCATCTCAAATCTTTTGACATATGTGGCCGGTAACCACTGCGACTAGACCCACTGAGATAGCTTTCATCACTAAGGCTTGTGGTGCTGCTATAATCCCCAATACTACTCTTCGAACTTTGAGACATCTGCCCCTTTTCCTTTGACCTTGATTTTTCATCAGACTGTGTTAGTATACTTCTTGCTTTGTTACAGTTGTTTGAGCTCAGACCTAGTTTGGCGAAACCAGAATTCAGAGAAGATGAACTAACTTCTACCTCTTCTTTCTGATTGTTCCTCTGAGCACATTCAGGTGTCTGACGAGGAAACTCACTTGTGCTACAAGACAAATCACTATCAGTTCCACCATTAGAATGCTTCGGACGGCTGGTGAAAGAAGATAAAACTTTCTTCTTAAAAAAGGTTTTGCTTCTAAAAACTGGTTTTATCAGACTTGGACTGTTAGACGTAGGATTAGTGACTGTATTTCCAGCACCAAAAAACGAGGAGCAAGAGACAAAATTTAAATCTTGCTCGTACTCCCTGTCTGCTACCATTGCAGCTGCTGGAGCTTCATTTACAGAAGGCACCATCTGATCTCGAACTAGTTCCACTTTATCAGTACAATTTCCAGTTGAAGAATGTGGCAACTCCAATGTCGTCTTCTGGCCAGACACTTCTTTCAAGTACTCATAACCATCAGTTGACTGACAAAGGGCATCACTTTCTGCTGCTATTTCACTTGCCTTATGTTTCAATGCATCTTCACAAGTGAATTGTTCTTGCACTGGAACATTTTCAGGACTCTTATGCAAAGAATCCACCATACTCTTCTCCGGAACGAGGGATATCTCCACCAAATTCTGTATACCTCCATCATCATTATGTTCAGGATCATTGGCCTCAACTATGACAGCACTGTACAGTCTCTTCACAGCTCCTGTTTCTGAGACTGTAGACAACCTGGACGCTTTTGGCAATTGCTTCTTAACAGCAGCCAGCTCTGATGCCTGAGAGATGCATAACCCTCTCAAGGCCTGCTTCAAACTTACAGGTTCAGAAATTCCTATGCCTGATGCACGAGAGGTGCTAAATCTCATTGGCCTTTTCATCGCACGTTTACTCGTCACATCTTTGACACCCCTACTGGAAGGCCTAATCTCTATTGCCTCAAACAGTTTATTAATATCATCTTCAATACAATACTTCTGTATATGCTTTACGTTATGATGTTTTTGTGCACCTTCATTCAGTTTAGATGCAGGATCATCTAGTAACTCTGTAATCTCACTACTACCAGGCAACCTAGCCATTATTACTAAATATATATATATAAGACTGAGAAAAACAAAGTTTAACGCCAGTAACTCTCTAACCCATTTCCAACAAAGCAATATGAAGAGGAAGAAAAACACAAATCAAACAGTACATCAGAAACTCCCCAAAATGGAGAGTAATCATGTTTAACTCCAACGATGAACAAGAGCGACCATACTGGGTACTTGCTTCTTGCTTCTTGTTTCCAGCATTCAACGCCTGATACAAGCAGCGAATGTCAGATATACTGTAGATATTAATCGGACAAGTTAAAACATTGTAAGCGTCAATATTATTGATTGCCTTAAGTTATTTCTCGCCATTATTATTGCTATTGTG